CTCTCAACCCCCAAGGCTTGAGACTCTATAACAACCATATGAGCTATAGTCTAAACCCCTTAAAGGGGGGATTATATAGGGGATTATATAGGGGAGTATTATAGGCGTTATTAAGGGGGATACACGGAGTTTAGACTATACCTCATATAGCAACAGTCCGTGACAACCCTGGAAGACGCGCAGCACCATGCCTAACTTGAAGGGGCCAGCAACGCTGCGTGATAATCACCCGTAGACGTGGTACCATGTCCGCACCATCCAATCCCTTATACCCTAAACCCTAAACCCTAGACCCTAGACCCTAAATCCTAAACCCAACTTCCATGTCATGTTCCATTTCGTCTTCCCTTTGATTCTCCACTACTTCTCACCTCTAGTTGCTCTCAACCCCCAACGCTGGATGACATGGTTTCCGTCATTCTGCTCATTTAGGCGCCAACCATCCTTCCATACTTACATTGTGGGACTAAGACCTCCCCAAAGGCCCCCTAAGGTCCCAAAAGGTCTCCTATTATGGGGGGCCCCCCTACTTAGGGCTTTCCATACTCAAAGGAGCCCTCCTGGCCTCCTGGGCCCTGAACCCGAGCTTGTTGATGCGGCGAGCCAGGAAGATCCGATTCGGATCCTACGGAATTTCAGGTGTAGCGGTGTAGGATGTAGGGTTGTTCAGGGGTGTAGGGTTTCGGTGTTAAAGGCCAAGGAATGTTTCTGCCACTAATTATGAGGTTCTTTGAGGACCTATTGCGAAATTACGTAGGAATTCTGCCATCACCTTCGTCCGAACAACAACTCCGATCCCACAGGATGGGCGTTGAACTCTTCTGCCGATGCAGTTGCATGCATCTGGGGTTCCTCTGTAGCCGCAACCACAGGCTGAAGTTGTAAATGGGGGTACATGGGCTTCAAAACGCTTTCAGGGAAAGCTAGCAATGAGCTGTAGGGCTCTGCCTACGCGGCACAAAGAAACACACGCTGGGCAGTAGCAGCAGCATTCAAATAAAGCGAAATGCGTCAGTCAAGTCATAACTTCAAACGTTTGACTTGCGAGGGAAGCCGGCATAACAGAGTGCCTTATATGAGCCCTATCCCCTTAAATAACAACCCCAATAATATAGGGTTTAGGGTCTAAACTCCTATAATACTCCCCTTTAGTAATCCCCTATAGAACCCCCCCCCCCACCCCCCAAATAATGAAGGGACCCAATTGGCTGAACCAAGTCCTGGAAGTTCATCTATCATCCCCAGCACTCTGACAGTTGTAGGATTTAGGGTTTAGAGTTTAAGACCCTAACACCTTTGTTCGTATGACTTCATCTTAACTTAGAAGCAACCTAGGACACTGAAAGGGGCAATCATCAACCTTATGACTGGCAAGTCTGAAGGCGCCTCGGAGCTCAATTCATTGAAATAGCCCCTTGGCAGATGGACTGCTTGATTTTGGGGAGGCAGGCGCTTAACATTCGTTTGAAGCACTGCTTGGTTCTGCCTAAATGAGCTATAGTCTAAACTCCTAGTATCCCCCTTAATAACCCCCCTATAATAGTACCCTATATACTCCCCTGTATTAACCCCTTTAAGGAGTTTTAGACTATAGCTCAAATGACCCTAAGCCTTCTAGGCTCGATGGATCTTGGGCCATCCGAGCATTCAGGCTGCCGGAAAGTACATCAACTTGCTGCTAGAAGGCACACTTCCTGGGTCACGTACTTTCCACAAACTTCAGGTGTAAAAGATGCGTCCATAGAACACGAGCTATGGTCTCAAATCCTTAAAGGGGGTCATATAACGATTATTTATATAGGGGAGTATTATAGGGGTATCAACGGGAATACAAGGAGTTTGGACTGTAGCTCACATGATGATTGCGCTATGCAGGGTTGCACGCAACGGCAGTTGCTACTTCGCCGTGTCCTCTAGACCACATGCAACAGCATGATGCGCTCAAGTTGCTGCAAAACAACGGAATACCCGGGCATAGAGGAATCCTATGGGTTTCAGGTTTAGGGTGTTTTCCTTGTGTCGAAGGGTTCTGGAGTTCTTGCTAGGGTTGGACTCCGGATAGAAACCCTAAACCATAAACCCTAATGCTTCTTGGAGCCACAGGTGGCGTAAGCCACGAAGGAGTCTTCAGGAGCCTACTTGGAGGCCCATGGGACTTAGTAACTACTTATAACTGGGATTATAACCCTACTTGTAATTGGGGTATCCCCTATAAGCCCATTTAGGGGGATTATAAGTAGGGGGATAAGCTCAGTTATAAGAAGAACCCAAAACGATCCTGCTGAAAAAAGATGAGTAGGAGCGAATTTGGCTGCATGAGTGTGCCCTCTTCTCCTTATCTGGATGCCACTATTTTCAGGGTCCCCAACAGACCTTAAACCCTGAGACCCATAAAGTTTGCGGCCTTTTTTTCAATTTCCGCGGCAGCTCTACATCGCAGTGTCCAAAAGCTAGACCTGTGAGGCCAGGAGGTCCGGTCGAGAAATCTGAGCAGTGTTCAAGCTGATTGGGTTAATGTTCTCCTCAGAACGAACCGCCCACCCCCTAATAATATTTATCGATCACTATACTACCGGCGGATAGCTGGGAAAGTGCTCGTTGTACGGGAGGCGTATTATAAGGGGGCGGGGAGGTTCTCTACTTGGGGAGGCGAATACCACTGTCCTCCGTGTCGGAAAGGGTATGTGGTCGTCTGTTTTCCATGGGGGGCTTAAATAACACGTGCATAGAGGTCACCCCGTGTGGAACCCCCCATACTTTTGGGGTTTACTGTATGCGACTGGTCCGACGTCATGCGTGACGCGAGGACGAGAAAGCCGTGTTCGGCATACCACACCGGATTCTTCGACCACGGGAGACCCCCTTGGCTATGTACACCTGCTATGTACATCCATGGGCTTTTCCAGTCGCACACACATCTCCAGAGATATACTGCTCAGGCTATGTATAGCACCTTGTTGCGCCCCTCGAAGTCAAGAAGAGCTTCCTTGGCTTCCATATCTGACACCTGCCTGACCTGTTGCTTGAGTATGCATACTCCGGCATGCTCCTCTAGCCTACCGTGACTTCTCAAAGGTCTACGACTGTTCCAACAGATTTCGGGCACAAAAGCAGAGGTTCTGTCACTGCCTAGTGGTGAGAAGGAGAACCGCATCCTGGCTTGGATACTTGACCCGAAGCTCTAACTGCGCACCCAGATCTCAAAACCAAACTCATCAACAGCTCGGCGAAATTCAACAGCTGCACATGAGAAGGTTCACCAAAGCAAGTGTCCGTTTGGGGGGGTGCCAAAATTTTGGTGGTTGAACCCGGTAAGGTGATATTCCTTATATACAATAGTATACCCCAAAAGGAGGATATAATCTTACTGTATATTGGGTACCATAGTATCCCCAATCTAAAAACTACTCACATTGGCATCCATGCAGCCGGCACTTCCTGAACTATCTATCTCCAGCTGACAGGGCACTTTGATGCGCGGATTTTTGGCACGAAGATAGGCGCAAAACTGGTTCAGGGTTCGGACGGGTACACCTGCAAGGCAACAAAAGCACTGTCACTGCGACCACATGAGCTGGGATATTCTTCCCCCTGTTGTTGTCTGAATGCGCTAAAATGATTCCTCAGGAATGCCTTCTACAGGCCGCAATTTTAAGATTTCTCAACCAAAGGCCTCAGATGTACCACAAACAAGCGGATTCTTGGCTAAAACCAGGACACGGAGTTTTGGGCTAAGTCCACCTGGTGCAAGCTCCCGTCTTGGAAACTTCTCCGCGAAAACGCAGCAAGGAACCTTACTCGGAGGTTCAGGACAAGCATAAACCAGCTAAAATCCAATTACCACCATCTGGGCAAGCTTCAGGGGCCTGTAATTGGGTTTTCATACACTTACATGTGGGCTATAACTAATGTAGGCCCCTGATTCATAAACCCCCTCCCCCTAATAGGGATTATAATAGGGACCCTTATATTAAGGCCCTTACACAGGAGGGGGTTTACAAATCATGGGTCTACATCAGGTTACTTGAACCGACTTCCACGTTGGTTCATGTACTTTGGAGAATCCGGCCTGGGTTTCCAGGACTATAATGGGTTTTATAGGGGTTATATAGGGGTATATAGGGGTAATATAGGGGTTATATAGGCATAATGGGAAATGAAATGGAAACCACTATTTAAGGTTTAGGGTTTAGATCATCTAGGGGAGTCTGCGGTGTCTGGCACTTTGCTCGCAGGGTTGGGGGCTGCTGCAAAAAGAATCATCCTGCTGATCCTGAAGTCAACCCAAATGCTGAAGAGAAATTGTCGCGATCCACCAAATTTCTGCATACCATCCTTCTTTCTACTTGCCGCCTGTTATCACTCTTAGACTGACTAAACAAGAGGCCTTTGAAAAGAGTCTCTAGGTCCCTCAACGAAACAGGGACGGCTGGAGGTTGGTGTCGCCTTGTCTGTCCTAAAGACCCTTGAGGCCAAGTCGTCACTCACATCAGATCTAGCCCTGAAAATCCCCAAAAACACTCAGCGTTTATTGGGATAATGGAAAAGAAAATGGAAACTGCTCTAGTATATCGGGGTTATATAAGGATAATGGAAAAGAAAATGGAAACTACTATAGTATATTGGGGTTGTATTGGGGGTTCTATTTCAGCCAACACATCTGAATACTTGTTCAAAAAAGCATAGAGCAAGACTGAATCCAAGCTTTCGAGCACCCTGCAGCCCCTTCAGCAATAATACTAATAATCGTAATGATAATAGTAATAATAATAATAGTACTGATAATAGTACTGATAATAGTACTACTACTAGTAATAATAGTAATAAACATAATAACAGTAATAATAACGACCTCACCCTTCAACATCTTGCAGTTCTGTGGCTACAGCAAAGCGACGACCGGCTTTGAGGGCGAGGTCCACAATCGATTCTGTGGCCTCCAGGGTTTGGGATGGCTTAAATGGGTTGTAGGGGTTGTGTACTTGGAGGGTCAGGGGGACTTAGGAAGTAGGGTAATAACCCCTATAACCCATATAGTAACCCTAATTATCCTAATTGTTAACCGACTTACTAAGTCCCCATGACCCTCCAAGTATAATATAGGGAAGCCCGGAGAGACCCATTCCCCAATTCTCAGCTAAGCATGCGTAAGCTTCAGCATCGCTTGCTAGTTGCATCTTCTTGCAGACAGGCCTAGGAAACTAGATTTCCATTTTCTTTTCCATTATCCCCATATAAACCCCAATATACTATAGTAGTTTCCATTTTATTTTCCATTATCCTTATATAAACCCCAATATACTAGTTTCCATTTTACCTGCAACCATAATAACTTTGCCCTTCGGGTTGGCAAAGTCGCTTAAGCCCTGCATTCCTCGTCTGGATGAAGGCCCACGACGACGGAGGCGTTGCTTAGCCTGAAGGCCGTTCAGGCTGGGTGTCGCGCTAAAACCGGGTGAGATGATTCGAGAAGCTTGACGGAAGGTGATCGCACTCTTTGCTGACATACCCTAAGCAGCACCTCCCTAGCACAAAAACTATGCGCGTGAAAATATTGCAGCAGGTTCCATTCCAGTCCTTCATTCCCCATTAACCCCTATATAGATACCCTAGTAGATTATATTTCGTGCTCTTTTCCATTGTCCCTCTTACTATTAAAACTAACTCCCCCAGACAACGCCCAAACTTTGCAACAAGGCGCAGGGCTTCGTGGCTGCCAGCCCCTGGGCCGAAGCGCTCGGCCTTGCCAGGGGTTCTAGGGTTTAGGATGGGTGATATGCGGGGGCTACCCATGGGGTTTGGGGGGTTCCTTGCTAGAAACTGACTTTGTTTTTGTTTTGCTCGCATGTGCCGTAGGAATTCTCGGCGCTGCAGTGAGTCCGGATAAACAACAACCCAAAATAATGGAGCCCCTGTTACAGACATATTTAAGAAGCGGTGCGTAATGCAAACCAGTCCCAGAAAGCAAAGGGACGTCCCAGCCTCAAAGAGGACGGGTACATGCGCAAAGGCCTCTTCACGTCCTGCACAGGACTGGCTTTCTGATCTCATCGTGTCCACTAATTTGAAGAGTATTGGGACATGCTGAGGGTGCTAAGCCCCAGAAAGAGTCTGTAACCCCAGTCTACACTAGATACACTGTTGAAAGGGCCCATGCAAGCCTGGTAGCTCCCTTGCAGCCATGATGGCGTTGATCTTTTGTATCTTGGAGGGCTTTAAGAGCGTCAGATTCAATTTGAGAATACACAGCGCAGGGCACTCCTCTGAATATCTTTATGATACAAAAACCCCTCTCACAAAGGGTTGAGGATGGAGGAAGCCGCAGCACCTCCGTCTGTCACGCACAACAAACCCCGAGGCCCCGAAGCCTTGTAAAACCCTCCAAGGGAGTCCCCATAATCCTTTCCATATCCTGGGTTTTCAGGCACCCTAAGCGCTGTACCCTCTACAATTGTATACATATTATTTATATATATATATGTAGAGATATCTAGTAACAACCCCTTGATCTGTGTGTACATATATAGATATAAGTGCCTATAACTCCTTAACAAGTATGTAGATACATATGTATGTAGGTACATACACACATACATACATACATACATACATACATACATACATACATACATGAATGAATGCAGGCATGCACACGTATACATCTATTCCAGTAACTCCTTAAGATATATTTCTATGAATCCTTAAAAGAGATCCTCATGTCCTACATGATCCTTCCACGCGTTCCGTGCGCCTCGCTTCCGGAGCGCCCTGCGCTGCCAGCTCTTCAGCGCACCTCCTTCCGGAGAGACCGCGTTAAGGGCTTAGGGTGTAGGATATATAATGGGCTATATAGGATTTGTATAGGGTATAAGGGTTAGATAAGGTTGTAGAGGGTTCACGCTGTAGGGTTCAGGGCGCAGGCTTAGAGTGCAGGGCCTCAAGCTGCAGGTTACCATTGTCAATGCGAATGCCTTATCCAGACCCTCTAATGTAGCACCTTTCGTCCTAACAAGAATCCTATAACCCAAAAAAGCATACCCCATCTCAAAGGGAACTGCATTCGAGGGTTCAGGTAGAGTTTAAGGTGTAGGGTTGCAGAACGTTGAACCATCAGACACGGTTTTAATGGGGTTGGAAAAGCATTCAGAATGCTTGGTTTAGGGTTTAGGGTTTAGGCTTGAGACGGTTCATGTAAGAAAGGGCTGCTAGAACACTTTGCTGGGGACGCGTCACCATGACGTACCAGCGCATTGGTGTCTGCAGAGCGTGAAGAATGGCTCATATGAGCCATAGTCTAAACTCCTAGTATCCCCCTTAATAACCCCTATACTAGTCCCCTATATATTTCCCCATATAACCCCATTTAAGGATTTTTTACAATATAGCTCATATGGATAAGTACCCAGTGTAGGATCCCGGCTCCTTATCCAGCGAACTTAAAAGGGACCCAAGATGTTGAGAGACAGGCTTATCTCCCTTGAGCACATGAGCGTCATAACTTTTGCAGAGGTCTTGGACATGGATTATTATTCGGGAGGGGAATATACTTTGGCCTACATCGAATCACCACAATCGGAAGCCCCACATGCGCCACTGCAGCTCCTACAAAAACTCCTACATCGACACTAACCCCTAAACTCCACGACGTGCTTTGACAACAGAGATGTTTTAGGAGGACGCCCCACCCTGTAATAGTGGTAAAATAGGATTATAATAGGACCACAATATAATCCCTAATATCCCCTATAGTCACTATTACAGGGTGGGGGGTCCACCTAAGAGATGTTGACGGTAAACCAAAGCTCCTCGCCGGAGGGCAGGGTCCACCAGGGTGGCGGGCACGTCCATCTCAATGCCTCGGGGGCTTCTCAAAATGCGAGGTAGATATATTACGAAAACTACTACGATGCTTTCTTCTACTTTTAAACGATTATGGGATACTACCTGGTCAATTATAATTTGGGGTTTTCCTCAGCTGGAGCGAAGTAGTCCGTACTGCCTAACTTATCACGATTGTTCATGGTGATGGACGACAGATTCCCTAACCCCCTCGTCACGTTTGCACGCACTGCTGAATCAGACATGATGCAGGCCGCTGGCACGAAAGCCTTCAACGAAGGATTCACGTATTTGTACTCCCCTAATTACGGCAGTACAATAGTCTGCTGCAGGTCAACTTTCACGGTGTTGGGCCCCAATCCTTTAGGAAGCACAAGTAAGAATCAACTATGGGGAAGAACTACAAAGAAGATATATGTATTGAGCGTGGGAGGGATCATAACCTTGATATAGACATCCAATCAAACTTAGAAGACTGAGAGCAGCAGCCATGGAGATAAGGAGATCTCAGGGGTTGCCACTCTTTCTCCCAAATCGGAACTCCTGATAAAACCAAATTGCTTGGGTACCAAGATTCCTGGAAAAGCTTTCCAGAGCAACAGCCAAAAAGTCCAGCATAAGCCTGTAACCGCGAGGTCACGAGTCTCGACACTACTAGCGTTTACTCGAACTTAAGGTCCCCGCACATACCTCCCACGTTGCAAAGGACACCCCAAAACCCCCTTTGGTCTTCGACAATCCCTGAGCCCAAACCCTGAAGCCCAGGTCTCAAACCCTAAGTTCTGAACCCTACATATCCGCGCAACTACTTTCCAAGACCCTGTATGTGAGTCCAAGAGTTGGGGGCCGCAAATATAGACCACCATATACGATGATCCTCTCTATAGCGACTCCAAAAAGGGGGTCCTAATTTCCGGAAACTCCTATATCCCCTTGAGCCCCTGGCTGAGGGCCCAGGAAAGATCGCCCTGCCCGCCGGCCACGTCCAAAACGCCGCTACCCTCACAGAGCGCCTCTTAGGGGGAGAAGAGGGCTGGGGTGAAGGTGCAGAGTTGTTGGCAGGTATGTTGGGATTTGGGTAATTCCCAAAATTAGGATCCATTGAAATACCCCTAAAAGTTAGGGACCCATAATTTTGGGAACAACCCATTTGGGATTTTGTAGGGCCAGGGTTTAGGGCTGTGGCTGGGGCTAGGGTTTTAGGATTTGCGGCTGGGATTGCAGGTCTAGAGCTTGCAGGGAAGGCAAGGCAGACGAGTGGTGGTAGCAATGTCCAAACACCCCGACCCCCTAAAGAATCCCACGAATGGAACCCCTTAATAATCCCCAAGGCTCCCCAATGTATTAATGGGGCGTCATTTGGGGGGTTCCATTTTTTGGATCCTCTAAGGGGTCTGGCAACAAAGGCGCAAACAATACTGTATGAACAAGCAAGAATATCTGCAGACTTAGAAATAGACGAATGTTGCTTGTCGGATGAGGACCATTTTGCATGCCGGGGACCCGCGCATTCCAGCCCTCTGCACAGAGCATCCTCATCCTGCACAGAACATTCTCTATTGTCCTCCTCATGGGTTCAAGAAGGGTTTTGGGTCCAGGGTTTGACCCTCACTCGCCGGAAGTGTGGTGTAGACCAAAGGTAGCGTGGCCCTCCCACAGGTCGAGCCCGTTCAGGCCAGCTGTTCTCAGATCAGCTGTCCCACACTAGCATGAGCTCAAAATCAGCTCCAGCTGCTTCGAGCTTCACTTGCATCTGATTTAGGGCACTGTTGACACAGTGGTCATTAGTTTTTGCAGACAACATGAGCGGCCTGCCCAGGCCATTCCGTTGCCAATTACCGGAACACAGATGGGCGCGCCAGTGTAGGTGCTTAAAGATGTGTAATCCTTGGGGGCTATAAATAACAAGCCAGAGTTCGTCAAAGTAGGCGGTGCGCCCACCACCACACCCAGGGACCTTGATGTTGGAAAAGCAGCACCTCCAGCAATTCTTCGCCACACAAAAATGCAATTTCGCATACTTCACTTCGACTCTGGTGCGATCTCGGATCCAGTCTACCGCTGCATTGTTAACTCCGCGTCGATGGCCCCGTGTGTCCAATTCACCAGCAGCACTGGAGAATGTGCTATCTGGGTTCAACATCTGATCAAACTCAAAGCACACTCTCTCGACTCGCTGACTGCGAAGAGCAGGGCTCATAGTATGCCAGGGGGTGTCTTTGTACACCCGGTCTCCCAAAGGCAATTGCGCCATGGAAAGCCTTCGGTACATGGCGCGTACCAATGGATCTCGTTTTGAGATAGTCTCGACAAGTTTGCATCCTGCCATTGCAAGGTTCGCTAGGAGTGTGCGCAGAGATTCCTTCCAAGACTGCCCACAGCCACCTCGGAGTCTAACCACGTGCCCATGCTGGACAGTGCGTACGCCTCTTGTAGATAGGCCCAGTTTCAAGTCGTGCTTTAACAAATGAAACCCGTCTGGGGCAAAGCTGAGAAGGTACAGATCATCGAAAGCCTGACTGGCTCGACCATCACGCGCCAGTTTGATGCCATAGAAACTCAAATCCCACGTGTCCGTCGTGGGCGAATACGACAGCCGCGCGGTTTTTATTTCAACGCGCCGACCCAGAAAAGTTCCATCCCACTCTGCCTGGTGCTTACTACGACGGCGACCATTGAGGCAAGTGGACGCAGGTGGGTCTTGAAAGTAGCTGCCGGGATATCGTCGCTCAAGCACACGTTTGGCCAGGTCCTCCAGCAGCTGCCCACGCCGGTAAGGACTGATCATGGACAAACGATCACCAGCAAATGCCGCAGCCACGGCCACTCCAACCTTCTCATCCATGATGTGCTGGAAGCACCAAGAGGGTAACACCAAAAGCCATCTGCGATCGCCAGCACAT